ATGATGATGACGAAGTTGATGATGTTATTCATGATCATGCTGATGAGATGATGTTGATGGTGATGATGATGCTGATGATGATGATGATGGTGGTGATGTTCCGATGATGATGATGATGATGATGATGATGATGATGATGATGATGATGATGATGATGATGATGCTGATGATGATGATGATGATGGTGATGTCCTGGTGATGATGATGATGTTGATGATGATGATGGTGATGATGGTGGTGTCCCGATGATGATGATGATGATGATGATGATGATGATGATGATGATGATGATGATGATGATGATGATGATGATGATGACGATGATGATGATGATGGTGGTGATCATGATGTTGATGATGGTGATGAGGTGATGATGATGATGGTGTCCCGATGATGGTGATGAGGATGATGCTGTTGATGACGCTGATGACGGTGATGATGATGATGATGATGACGTTGATTGTGATATCGATTGTGATATCGATAGTGAGATCGATCGTTCGACCGAATGTGAGATCGATTGTGAGATCGATTTTGAAATCGATCGTGAGATCGATAGTCATATCGATTGTGAGATCGATCGAATGAAATAGACTGAGTGATATCGATTGTGAGGTCGATCGAGTGAGATCGATCGAGCGAGACCGATCGTGATATCGATAGTGAGATCGATAGTGATACCGATCGAGTGAGACGTTGGTTCCTCCCCCCCGAACCTCCTTATCACCCGAAGGGTGGTCGTACAGGATATATATATATATATATATATATATATATATATATATATATGTGTGTGTGTGTGTGTGTCGAGAACGGTGGCGTAGGACCGGCCGCTCCCTGGGAGTTCGACGCATCTGGTCGGTAGCCTCTTAGAGGCAGTTTTGAAGCATGTTTGGGGGCTCTTGGGCGCCGTTTGGGGGCCTCTTGGGGCCTCTGTTGTGCCCCTTGGGGGCTTCTCGGAGGTCTGCTGGCGGTCTGGGAGGGCGCGCTCGGGCAGAAAACTGGACATGTAATTTCGAGTTATGGTTCTAGGGCCCTCTTGGGGCCGCCTTCGGCGCGTCTTGGGCCGTCTTGGGGCCGTCTTGGCACGTCTTGGGGTTTTCTTCGGGGTCTCTGGAGCGATATTGGGGCGATCTTGCCGGCTTGTAGGCTCGTCGTGGGCGCCGAGAATTCCAAAAGCCGCGCGTGCTAGAAATATGCGTTTCCCCACAGGAATGGGACGATTGTTGCTTTTCGGGGCCTTTTTGGAAGGCCTCTTGAAACCCTCTTGGGGCGTCTTGAGGCTGTCTGTCGGCGACGTGGAGCCTTCTTGGACCCTTTTGGGGGCCGTCTTGGGGCTCTTTGGGGTCGTCTTGGGCCTCTTGGGATTTGTTGGGGTTCTTTGAACGCTTCGACTTGGGGGGGTCTGCGAGGGACCGCCGGCAGATTGGAGGCCCACAGGAGGGACTTCAGGGAAATTTTGACCAGGCCCAGGCGAATCCTACCAGGCACTTTGTCAGAGGGCGGGAACGACCGTATCGAGGACGCCGGCGGCGCATCACCGGCCGTTCCCTGGGAGTTTGCCGAAGTGGTGCGCAGCATCGAAAGTCATGACGCGGCGCGTATGCCAGCTATCAAATGGCCGTCGGCCCATCCCGCCACCTTGCTTGGGTTTTGGGTCGGAGTCCTCATGGACGCTTCTTCGAGTCTCGAGAGGGCTCCCGGAGGCCTCTGCGGGGGAGTTTAGGAGCCTCTTGGGGGCCTCCGGGGGGTTTCTTGTGGGCCTCTTGGGGCCCTCTTAGTGCCTCTTGGGGCTCTCTTGGGGCCTCTCGGGGGCCTCCTGGAGGCCTCTTAAAGCCTCCTGGGGGCGTCTTGGGACCGAAAGCTCGAAATCTTCATTCGGGTTCCCCTTCTGGGCGCCCTCTTGGGGCCGTCCTGGGGCCCCTCTTGGGCCGTCCTGGGGGCCTCTAGGGCCGTCTTGGGGCCCTCTTGCGCTATCTTGGAGCTCTCTTGGGGGCTTGTTGGGCCGTCCTGAGGCGATCTTGCGGGCCTCTTGGGCCGTCTTGGAACGTCGGTAAGCCGAAATGGCGAGAACGCGAAAATCTTTCAAAAACCATAGAGAAGATCATGATTATTGTCTCTTGGGGCACTTTTGGGGGTGCTCTTGGAGGCCTCTTGGGCCGTTTTGGAAGCGTTTTGGCCCGTTTGGAGGCAATCTTGGGCGCCTTGGAGCGATCTGGAGCCGTCTGGAGGCTCTCTTGGATTGCTTGGGACTCTCTTGGATCGGCTTGGGGCGCTCTTGGGTCGTCCCCCAGCTGTTCCGGACCTTGAAGGGGGGGGGGCGGCGGCAGAGTGGGGTCCCCTCGGAGGGACTTTCAGGGAGGTTTTTGACAAACACTGGGGGGAAACCGAAGCACCGTCGGGTGTATGTGACTCTGGACACTCAGTCAGTCAGAAGCCGTGCACCAATGAGACGCGTTGGCGAAAGCATCCGGATCACTATTGGGCCCGTGCTTGGTGGTGCACTTGCCACTAGTTTTAAGTCGGGCCTGTTCCCCCACAGGGGGATTTTCGACGAAAAAAAAAACATACCCCAAAAATAGTCCAAACATATTCCAAAAATGGTCTGGCTGGGGACTATGTTTTGAATGTTTTTTTGACCATTTTGGAGCATTTTTGGGGTATTTTTTATTTTTCGTCGAAAATCCACCTGTTGGGGGACAGGCCCGACCTAACACTAGCTATACAAACCCTCCAGGTTACGAGGAGGTCTCGCACGGCCCAACCCGCAGGGCGGGAGCGGCCGGATCTTGAGGGCTTCGCCCTCTGCCGCCGGCCCCCCAAAGAACCAGTGCGTGCGGCTGCGTGGATAGCGCCGTGGGTACTTCTCGTGGCGGGCTTCTCGGCAGTGTCTGCGGGTCATTGTTGGGGTTTCTTGGAAGCCGTTTTGGAGCCTCTTGGGGCATATTTGGGGTCTCTTGGGGGTCTCCTCGGGGCCTCTTGGGGGCCACTTGGGGGGCCTCTTGGGGCCTCTTGGGGCCCAGAGATCGAGTTTTCGGTTCGTGGACTCCCTCTTAGGCCTCTCTTGGGGCCGTCGTAGGGCCCAAAAGGGCCGTCTCGGGCGCCTCTTGGACTGTCTTGGGACCCTCTTCGGCCGTCTTTGGGCTGTCTTCGGGGCCTCTTGGGTCGTCATGGGAGCTTCTAGGGCCGTCGTGAAGCGATCTTGGGAACCTTCGGTCCGTCTCGGAGCCTCGGACAGCCGAAAAGGCGAAAAGGTCACAACTTGCAAAAACGTTTGGAACATCGTTGATGATTGCTTCGTGGAGCCCTCTTGGGAGGCCTCTTGAAGGCTTCTTGGGCCGTCTTGGCAGCATCCCGGGCCATCTTGGGGCCATCGTGGAACACCTTGGGGCCATCTTGGGCCGTTTTGGGCTCCTGAGGCTCTCTTCGGAGCCTCTTCGGGGAATCTCGGAGGCCTCTCGGGCCGTTCTGGCCGCGCGGTGGCGTCACCATGAAAATCCTGGGGTGGCCCGGAGCAGCCAGGATTTGAGGTTCCCCCCCCCGTTGGTTGTTTGATGGCGCGGCGGGGCCCCTTAGCAGACAGTAAATCGGAGGAAGGAAACATGACTGGAGAGGCAAAAGGCCAAACAACAAATGGCAACACAGAACACATGACGGCAGACCACACACACCTTCGCAGCATTGCGCCCCCGGAGGGGGCCGCCGTATACATATATTCACATCTATATATGTATACATAGATATGAATGAGTATATCATGAGCTTCAGCATAACCATAAACATATATAGATGTATATGTGCGCACATCGATCATACATATTAATATGTGTACATCTGTATATGTATATAAGCCAGGGTCTAGCCGCTGTTGGGAGGCCAAGACCGACGATTCCAAGAAGGCCAATCCCAAGGCCAAGGCCGACCCCAAGAAGAAGACCAAGTGAACGACGGCAGGAACATCCGAGGCCAACAAATGAGGATGCCGGGGGGGATGGGGCGACGGTAATGTTGGTACCACTGGCAACGATGGCATTAGCAATGATTATACAGATGTTGGTGATGTTGAGCATCAGTTGGCCATGAGTGCGACGATGATGATGGTGGTGGCAGTTACGATTGTAATAACGATGGCGAGCGGTGATGGGCAATGGCAGCGACGACGGCTGCGTTGGCGACGATGAGGACGTCAATCGCGACGATGACGACGACGGCCATGACGATGCCAGGTGACCTTTTCCCAACCATCCTGGTGTGATGGGTCCTCGTTTTGAAGAGACCGCGCCCCGCGTCCTCCTCTCCTCTCCTCCTCCCGTCCTCCCTCCTCCCTCCTGCCACATCGCCTCTGCCCTCCGCATGTCTCTGTTTTGGTACCCCATAGGGAGCACCACCGAAGGCCCCAGCGGTAGCGCCCGCATGGCACCACCACGCCCGTTGCGGCACACCCCTCACACGTCTCGTGGCCCCATCGGGAGCTACACTTAAGGCCAGTGGCAGCGCCCGCATGACACAACCGCACCCGTTTCGGCACACCCCTCACATATTTCATGACCCCACAGGGACCCCCAGCGAGGGCCCCAGTGGCAGCGCCCGCATGGCATCACCGCACCCGTTTCGACATACCCTTCACACGTCTCGTGGCCCCATAGGGAGTTCCACTTGAGGCCCCAGCGGCAGCGCCCGCATGGCACCACCGCGCACAATTCGGCACACCCCTCACACGTCCCGTGGTCCCACAGGAAGCTCCACCGAAGGCCCCAGCGGTAGCGCCCGCATGGCACCACGACGCCCAATTCGGCACACCCAGTACACGTCTCGTGGCCCCACAGGGGGCTCCACCTACGGCCCCAGTGGCAGTGTCCGCATGGCACCACCGCATCCTTTTCGGCACACCCAATGCATGCTTCGTGGCCCTGCAGGGAGCTCCACCGAAAGCCACAGTGTCAGCGCCAACATGGCACCACCACACCCTTTTCGGCACACCCTTCACATGATTCGTGGCCCCATAGGGAGCCCCAGCGAAGGCCTCAGTGGCAGCGCCCGCATGGCACTGAGGCACCCGTTTCGACACACCCTCACACGTTTCGTGGCCCCATAAGGAGTTCCACCTAAGGCCCCAGTGGCAGCGCCCGCATGGCACTACCGCACCCGTTTCGGCACACCCCTAACATTTGTTCGTATTTCCATCGGGAGCTCCACGTAAGGCCCCAGTGCGCTCGTTTCGGCACACCCCTCACGCGTTGTGTGGCCCCATCGGGGGCTCCAGCAAAGTCCTCAGTGGCAGCGCCAACGTGGCACCACCGCAGCCTTTTCGGCACACCCTTCACACATTTCGTGACCCCACAGGGAGCTCCAACGAAGGCCCCAGTGGCAGCGCCCGCATGGCACAACCGCACCCGCTTCGGCACACCACTCACACGTTTCGTGGTTCCCAGAAGTGTTCCATCGAAATCGGTCGGTACCCACAACGCGGTACTCACAACTGCGCATGTTTGGGTTTTTCGCCAAGATAAATTCTCAATCGTCCTGTTGTGTTGGGTCCTCGTTTTTGAAGACGCGGTCCCCGCGTCTCCTTCCATCCTTCCTTCCTCCCTTCCTCCTCTGCCTCTGCCCCCTGCACCGCTCACATTTCGCCACACCCCTCACACGGTTCACGGCCCCATACGGAGCTCCGACTAAGGCCCCCAGTGGCAACGCTCGCATGGCGGCGCCGCCCCCTTTGGGCGCACTCCTTACACGCTTCGTGGCCCCATAGAGAGCTCCACCGAATGCCTCAGTGGCAGGGTTCGCATGGCGGCGCCGCCCCATTGTGGCACACCCCTCACACGGTTCGTGGCCCCATATGGAGTTCCACCGAAGGCTCCAGTGGCAAAGTTCGCAGGGCGCCGTCGCCCCATTTTGGCGCATTGTTCACGCTGTTCGTGGCCTCACAGAGGGCTCCACGGAAGTCCCAATTGCAAAGTTCGCATGGCGGCGCCGCCCCATTTGGGCGCACCGCTCACGCGGTTCGTGGCCCCATTGGGAGTTTACCGAACGCCCCAGTGGCAGGGTTCTCATGGTGGCGCCGCCACATTTTGGCGCACCTCTCACATGGTTCGTGGCCCCATACGGAGCTCCACCGAAGGCCCCAGTGGCAAAGTTCGTACGGAGGCGCTGCCCCCTTTAGCGCACCTCTCACACGGCTCTTGGCCCCAGAGAGAGAGATCCACCGAATGCCCCAGTGGCAGGGTTCGCACGGCGGCGCCGCTCCAGTTCAACTGGAGCGGCGACGATTTGGACACATAATGATTTGGCCGCCACTCCCGCGGCTCGTGGCCTCATAGGGAGGTCCACCGAGAGCGGCGCCACCACACGGAGCCCACACATTGCCTCTGGCCGGGCCTCTCGCCTTGGACAACTCATGGCGAGAACCCCGTGGGGCCTTGGGCCCGCCCCCGCTCCCTCTCTCTCCCCGGACACCCTGACCCTGTCGGTGGCTCAGGTCCGAGGGGGGTGCGCAGCCCTCGCCCTCCACCTTCCGCACCTTCCGCGCGGCAGGTTCCACGCCACGGCGGCCGCCGCCGCGGCCGCCATTGCGGCTTCCGCCGAGGCCGCAGCAGCGGTTTCGGCGGCGGCGGCGTCCGCCGCGGCGCGGCACCTGCCGCGCGGAAGGTGCGGAAGGTGGAGGGCGAGGGAGGACTGCCAGGAGGAAAAGAAAGCACGCAGAAACACAATGATTCGTCGACTCCCCAGAAAAGATGGGAAAAGATTGGCAGTGGGGGGGGAGAGACAGACACCCCGAACATATGGGAAAATATGGGGGATTCTGTTATTTGCGTGTATTTGTTTGTGTGTCCCAGGGCCCCTTCAGATTGGTCCGCGCGGGCCCACGTGGGGCCGCCCATAGCGAGAAGGTCAGTTCGTCGGCCGGCACCTCCCGCCCCCATCGGACAGCCCGGGTTCTCGCCGAGCGCAAGAAGTCTGCAGCACTGGCACGACGACGGCGCTGACCGGACGGGGCTAGGACGAGGATAAGTCCGTTCTGAAGCGTTCCGAAGCGCTCTCAGAGCGTTCCAGACCGCTCTGCGAAGGCCGCGGCGCCCGAGACATCCTCCAGAACCGCGGGGGATTTCAGAGGTTCTCGATTTGCCCTCACGTGATCATATCCTCGTCTTGGCCTCGTCTCATCCTGGGGAGACAGGGGGCCTTCTCAGGAGCCCTCCCGGCTTCCAATGGGGCCCTCTCAGAGACCCGGGGAGGGCCTCCAGGAGCCGCCCTGCCTTCCCTCCCCGGAGGCTCCCCCGCCCTCTTGGCGGGCGGGCCCCCTCGCGCTGCTCCCCTCGTGCGTCCGCTCATCCTCGCGCGCGCTCGTCCTCGTTCGCAGGCGAGTTCCGGCCCCAACCCGACGCTCCCACGAAACCAGAAGCCGCTCAGCAAGGGAGGGAAACTCGGGGGTACACCCCGGGGGAGCTCTTCGGGCGCGCCCCGTGTCGAGGACGGGCGCCCCCCTGCCGCATCCGTACGTCCCAGCGGCTGGCCCCGGCCCCAGGCTCCTGGTCAGTCCGACGACCCCACGAAAAGCCTGGGACAGGGGTCGACACATCCCCTGTCACTCGTGCTGGCTTCGCCTTGGCGGCTCCAGAGGCCGCCGGAAGCGTATTTTCACGCGGTCGGCAGCCCCAGGGAATGACACCGATCGTAGTGAAGCCACTGGCTGGGGGTTAAGGGTTCTTTCCATTCGTCGCACGAGCGGAAGCCGCGCTCGCGCGGCGAGGCGAATGCCTCCTCAGCGCTGCGCGCTTCGTCGGGGCCACGAACGTGGAATGGGCAGGCTCGCTGAGAGCTCGGCCCGACGCCACGGGCTACGGACGTTGCACTGGTGGTGGTGGGCCATCAGGGGGCCAGGCCTTAGTGGGCCCAGAAACAGCAGGGCCGTGTTTTCACTGTTTCCCCAAAAAGTGTCCCTTGGAAATAGAAACGGCAAAAAAACGGCGACCGGAAACAGCAAAAAAACGGCTCCAGGATTGAAACCGGAGCCGGAACCGGTCAGAAAACGGCGACGGAACCAGTAAAACAACGGCGTCGGAACTGGCAAAAAAACTGCCCTGTCGGATTCCTGCGCGGCTATCAGGGGCACGGGATGTGAAGAAATGGCTTATGCAGACGACCTGAGTGGGATCCGTTCGGTCGAAGACAGTGTTGCAGACGACCAAGCGCACCGCATGATGGCCGAGGGCCAGCTAGAGCGCCGGATCTTTCAGGGTCTTGCAGGGCCAGGGTCGCACTGAGCCGGGTTTGGGTGCAGGGTCCTGCAGGGTCCTGCAGGGTCCTGCAGGGTCCTGCAGGGGCCAGGGTCGCACTGGCACGGGGGGTGGGCGCAGGCTCCTGCAGGAGCCTGCAGTGCCCGACCTAACCCCGGGTCTGGATCGACCCGGGTCAGCAGATCCCCGGATGCTTCTCGCGGCGGCCGCAGAGGTCGGCGGCTGCAGAGGTCCAGCGGCGTGTGCAGGTATCGCGGCTCCTCCGCCGCTTGGCCCGCGCCATAGCCAATGCCGCTGCCCTTGCCCCGTTGCGGCCTCTTCTGGGCCTCCAGGGGGGGCCCCCGTGGCCACGGCTGGAGTCGCCTCGAGGTCCTGGTCAGAACGCGCCCCTGGAGAGGTCAAAGATGTAGCGTTGAGTCGGGCCTGTGGCCCTACAGGGGTATTTTTGACGAACAATGACAAATACACCCCAAAAATCAAAACATAGAATTCAAAAATTCTGGGGACTCTGTTTTGAGTTTTTTTTTTTTTTTCATTTTTGTTGTTGTTTTAGTGTATGTTTTATTTGTCGTTGAAAATCCCCCTGTAGGGGGACAGGCCCGACTTAAATGTAGCGGCATCGGTCGGCGACTACAAGGGGTGTGGTTACGCCGGGGTGTGGTTTGCGATCGTCACCGTTGGGGCCTGGGGCGCACGACGCTGTCCTCGTCGGGCCTCTTCGGGGCGCGGCGGAGAACTTGTCGTTGTCCCCGCCCGCCCCCAGTGTGACTCCAGGGGTGCAGGTTGCAAAAAACACCTTTTGCAAACCACACCCTTCGGAGTCGCCGAAAAGGGTGTGGTTCCTCGGTGAAGAAAGACAGGCATACACATAAACGTTCGGACCGTCGACAGTTTCTATTCATGAACGTTTGTTCCTCCAGTTGCGCCAGGGTGTGGTTTGCGATCCGCGTCGGTTGGGGCTTGGGGGGGCACAGTGTTGCCCTCGTCGGGCCTCCTCGGAGCGCGGCTGAGAGCGCTGTCGAGGTCCTCGCCCGCCCCCCAGGGTGCGGGCTGCAAACCACGCCCTTTGCAAACCACGCCCTTCGGAGTCGCCGACCAGTACAGTCTTCCGATGTCGTGATGTTGCTTGGCGTGGCCCACCAGACCTTTCGGTCCTATCTTTTCTTGGGCCCGCGTTTCGTCGCGGGGTGTTTTCGGCTGCCAGGAGCGGGTGTAATTATGAGGGCTCTGCTTGAGCTGTGTCGCAGTGCGTGCGCGCGACGCGCGCGCGACAGAAATGCAATGAGGCCACATGCATGTCATTGGTATGCAATTGCAAGTTGGTTACAGTACTAACGCCGTTTAGGTTAGAACGTGTGTGAAGTTGTGTTTCAAACACCCCTGAGAACTCGTCAAGACAGTTGTTGATGAGTATTTCTAGACAGTCTAGGGGGTAAGCAGGCGGCGAATGGTATTGTTTTCGCAAAGGAGATGTATTCTTCGCTTGCTCCCTACGGCCTTAACGACTCTTCTCCAATCGACTTTCCCGTATTAAGCTGGACAAGTCGAGGCATTTCTATGCAAGCCGATGCACATCAGGATGTGTCCAGGTGAACCCAGAAATCTCCCGACACACCCGGAGACGTCGTGGACGCCCCAGCGCGAGTCGAGGGACAGCAGCAGCCGTTGAGCCTATAACGTCCAGGACTCGCCCGCGGGAGAGCGCCTCGCGGCAGGGCAGGAAGCTCTCGGATGGCGGTCAGCGCGGCTGCTGCGCCGATGGCACGCTGCCGGCCTCCCGCTCTTCTTCCCGTGAGAGCCGCTCCCCTCTCCCCCCCTGCCTGTCCGTCCTCTCCCTCGCCTCCTCCCTCCCCTCCCTCGCTCCGCACTCCGCTCCGCCCCGCCCCCGTCTCTCCGCTGCCTGCTCCTCCCCCGTGGATCACTCCTCCCTGGGTGCTCCTCCTCGCTCCTCTTGCTCCTCCCTCGTCCCGGCCTCCCTCTTCTCCTCGTTCCACATTCCAGCTGCACCCACCGGCTCTCCTCCCCTCTCACGTAGCATTCCCCCCGTCTCACCCCGTCTGTCCTCCCTACAGCTTCCGCCCTCGGAGCAATATGGCATTCCTCCTTCGGTCCTCGTCATTCCTCCGTGGTTCCACGGTCCTCCTCGTCAATATGGATTCCTTCCTCGATCTTCGCTCTTCCTCCTTTACCTTCCTCGTTCCTCCTACCTCGTCTATCTGTCATCCCTCCTTCTGTATTATTCCTCCATATTCTATCTGTTCTCCCTCCTCTGTCCTGCTCCCTCCTTCCTCACTGTCCTCCCTCTTTTTTCCTGTGGATGTTAAGTTTTATCCTTCCTCATTCCTCCTCGATGCCCGTCCTCGTTATTTGTTTCGCATTCTTCTATCTTTGCTCATTCCCCCTTCCCCCTTGCTCAGTCATGCCGCCCTCCTGCACCTTGTGTTTTAAACCCTTAGTTGATTTGATTATCCGTCCTCTCCCCCGCTCGCTCCTGCCTCCACTCCCCTGCCTCCCTCCGTCCTCCCTCGCCTTCTCTCCTCCTCCCTCCCTCCCCCCTTCTCACCCTCCCCCGCCTTCGCTCGCCCACCCTGTCTCCCACATTCCTCCTCCTCCTCACCTCCCTCCCTCCTCCTTGCTCCGTCCCTCTGGTTTCCCCCCGCCCCCTCCCTCCGTCACTCCCCCCTCCCCCCCTCCCCCCTCGCTCTTTCCTCGTCCCTCCCTGCGCGGGTGGGAGCGGCTCATCTTTGCGCCCCTTCTTGCGAGCGCGCTCCACCGGTGGCCCCTCGCGGGGCCCAGGTATCCAGAGTCAAATTCTACCTCCTTCCTCCTTGCTCTCCTCCTCCTCCTCCTCGTCCTCCTCCTCCTCCTCCTCCTCCTCGTCCTCCTCCTCCCCCCCTCCTCCTCCTCCTCCTCCTCCTCCTCCTCCTCCTCCTCCTTCTCCTCCTCCTCCCCCTCCTCCATCCTTCTCCTCATACTACCTTCTCCCGGTCGTTCCCCAAATGTGTTGTCAGGGCGGACCGTGCGTTTCGCCTGAGTGTCCTCACCAGTCATGATCCTGAAGCTTGAAACTTGGAACAGTTTCACGGATGGAGAGGCGGCCATCTTTGAAATGTGGTTCTCGGCTTGGCGCTGCGCACATTCGTCTTCAAAGCGTGCATCATTTTTCATTGGTGGATGTAAGGTTATTTTCAACATGTTTTTTTTTTGCTTCAGCGCCGCGCGCATTCTTTGCAAAGGTCTCGCTTGAACGCTGCGTATGTTCGTACACAGTTTGCAGCAGCTTCTCAGATGTATGACGGTTCCCTTTCAAACTGTGGCTCTCGCCTTAGCTCCGCACACATTCGTCTTCAAAGGTTGTTGCATTTTCACGGGTGGAAAGGAGGGGAATTGTCACAACGTGGCTCTCGTTGTAGAGCCGCGCGCATTCGGTGTAAGTGTTATCATCAGGGTCATGTATGAAAGGGGGGCGGTTTCAACATGAGACTCGTCTTAGCTCAGCGCACATTCGTTCTAATGTTGCACACGTTTAGCGGATGGAGGGCGGCCCCTTTTCAAAGTGGGGCTCGCGCCTTAGCGCCGCGCACGTTCGTATCAATTTCTTGCAACAGTGCCCAGGATTGAGCACAGGTCGTTTTCAACATGTGGCCCCACTGGTTCTGGTCTTTCACAGGGGCGTTTCTTTGAACAACGAGGAATTGTCGGACCGTGTATGGAGGGGGCTTGGGACGAGAGGGTGTTTTGCAGCATCGCTCATGCATATATGGTTTATTCAAATATTCCTCGTTCTCCTCCTCCTCTACATCCTCCTCTGTAACCTTTTTGGCTCAAGGCATCTTGGCTCAAGTACAACATGACCCAAGGCAGCTGGCACACCCGCTTCACCATGCCCTGAGGACCGCCAGAGCTGCCCATCTACGTTTCCTCCTTCATTTCCATCGAAGTCGGCTGACTCACAGTTGCCATCTCAGCTAATTCAGATCCTGCGCATTGAATTCATTTGCGCGGTGCTGCTCCCGCCTGGTATAGGACAGACAACTCGTGGACTTGCATGCCTGCAGAACGATACACACTGGACAGTGGTACCGACTGATTCCCCCCAACATCCAAAGAGTCGCGGCGTTGCCCGTAGTACACGTGATCGATGTGACATGTGACAGAGACTGACGGGGGCAGAGCAACCCCAGAAAAGAGCGCGACAGATGCCGAGCACGACATCGAGTCAGAGATCGTGACAGGCGAGATCGACGCCCGATGTTTTCTTCAGCTCCCAGGGATCTACCTTTTCGTCAAGGACGCTGTGGACGTTCTGTGGGCCCCGTCAGAACGGATTCCATCTCCTCCCCCAACAGGTTTTCATTCAGCAGCGGGTCTTGAGCGATGTGTGAAAATATTTGTTGATGCCACCGCATTCCCCACTCAAGAACGACATGAATAGGTACGAGCTCAGCAACTTCAAGAAGCTACGCAGCTCCCTGCTTCTTCTGGACCATCCTCTCGGCCCGCACAGCCTCAACGACTTCAATTTGCTTCCATTCCGGACGTCCAGAACGACCTGCGACGCATCATGGGGAGCACGCGTCGCCAACGTCACCTCGCCAGTCACCGTTCAACTTTCGCAGGTACAGTCCCTCACATCTCCCCACAGACAGAAAGACGCCACCACGCACCGATGATCTCTTGGCAGTCAAGCAGACACAGTCTCGTAAATAATCTCATCGTAAAGAGGTGTGGGGATCCATTGGCCGCAGCAGCCACCAGCTGAGCTTCTCCGAGTGAGGCGCGCCCATCCCGGGGCATGGCCAAGCCCCCCGATTGGGATCGTGACCCCGACCCGGCCATCTTCATTTTATCATGCGCTCTTCCTCTCTCCGCCGACGCAGTGCGCACAGCCATTTGAGAGTGGTTTTCGGCTGCCAGCGCCGCTGCTCAACAGTGCCAAATTCATGGAGAAGGACCGAACTGGCAATTTTGATTTAGCTCGGTGGCACGGACACCGCCATACCTCGGGCGATCGCCCTGGCACGCGATCTTCACATGCCAGGGCGAGGAGGTTACCAACGGTTCGGAGTCCAGACCCCCGCCGGCTCAATCATGGGCAGTTCGTGCCGCTCCATGTCAACGCCGACAAGAATGTCGAGCGCACTCGGCCAGAGGCCTAGACCAATGAGTTTTACATGAGATGTCAAGAAACATGATCCGCCGCGCAAATGGAGAGCGCAGATCAGAGGGGGGATCCTTCTGCGACTTCATCCCTGTGGCCAAGATGGAGCTCGCCGCCGTGGACGCGGCCGCGATCAGCCGCTGGGGCCAGGAAGCGCTGGCCAAACCTCCTAACAACTGAACGTCATCACAGCTGAGCTCGCCGCGCTCTACAAGGCAGAGGACTCCGCGCAGCGGCTGTTGCAAAAGTTGACCCAGCGATGCCCCCAAGACGGCCTCCGAAGGCGCCGGGCGTGCCAAGACACCCTCGAGGCGGCCCCAGAAGCCTCAGGAAGCCCCCAAGAGGTCCCAGAAGAAGGCCCCCAAGAGGTCTTGAGAAGCTTCCCAGGATGCCCCGGGATCCGTAACTTCTGGAAAAGGATTGGCTCTGAGTGTTGGGTATAGGGTCCTGGGGCTGATGCTCGAGCTTAGCAGAAGCTACTTGGCGCCTTTTGGTGGCGCCGCGCTACTGCCGAGCCTAAACATGCCCGTGCTCTTGGTCCCCGACGCCGAAGGACCGGCTCAGGATCGTGGGCCAGCTCCTACAGCGCCAGCGCTGCATCCTAGAGCCAGCCCCACTCGCAGAGCGTCGGCCCCTCTAGGCGTATCACAACAGCTGCGGCCCAGAGGGCGCCCGCTTCCTTCCGGGCTACTTCTTCCTCTCCACGCGCATGATCTTCAGCTCCGCGAGCGGGGTCTCCCCCCCAGCAACGGTCGCGATATTCCCTCTTCGTTGCCATCTAGCAAGTACGCTTCCAGCTCCTGTTCATCTTCCGGCGACTCAAGCTCCACGGCCTCCCCTGGATCGACCTCCGCGACGGCTTCTGCCCCCTCATCCCCTGCGTCGCCGACCTCGCCCGAGACCCGGGGCCGGCCCCCCGCCGCTGACCTTCCACAGTAGCCACAGTTTATGCGGGTTGCTACTACTTCCATTGGAATGGAAGGGGGTAGCCTTCGTCATGTCGCGCGCGGGCGACGGGCCAAGCTACGGCGCGTCGCCGTGGTCTAGGGGGACTTGCCTTTCTGGTCCCAGAACGCGCTGCCCCCATGATTTCCATTGCTTCGCGCGCGCTTTGCCCCTGGCGGCATGGCCACATTATACATCCGCCTCCGCGTCGCGGACTTCGAGATGCCGGTCGCGAGTGCTCGCCAGCGCGACCAGATGACGCATGTCGCTGCAGCCCAGCGCCGTGCCAGGGGCAGGGCGCCAGATGGCCCCGCCGCGTGGGTCTTCCTGGCCACGGGCGACGTCGCATTCATGGGCCCGACCGCCTGCTGGAGGCCAACGGGCGCCGGCGCTCAGCGCCGAGGAGAGAGCGAGATGGAGAAGGCCTTTTTTCCTCCATGGCCAAATCTCGCACGACCTCCCCGCTCGCTCCTCCGCTGCCGCGTGGGCCGCCGAGGGCGGCGCGGCCCTCTCTGACCGGGGCAGCGGCGATCGCGCCACCCCCCGCCACGCGCCGCAACGTTTTCCGCTGCCCGCGTCGAGAAGCGGGCCGCCGACCCCGCCGCCGCTCGCGGCCCGACCTGCGCCCGGCGCATCAACTGTTGCTGGGCAACATTGCTCGGGGGCGGCAAAGAGGGAAGCGGTGACAAGGTGGGGTGGATATCATGATTTGCACCCCCCCCCTCCTGGACGCCCCCCTCTTGGCCGCTCCCGAATTGCCCGGGCAAACATCATTGGCGCTCCCGCGTGGAGGCGGCGCGCGCCCGTGGCGGGGGCGAGGGGGCGGGGGCGGGCTCGACCGGCGCGCGACCTTTTGCGCGGTGTCATTCGCGAAGGTCATCGCCGCCAGGCACGGGGGGCGGCTCGCTGCCGCGCGCGCCTCTGTTATGGTTACATGGCGGAAGGGCGAGACCCCCGCTTCCATCCTCGCGGCCGCGACCGAGCTCGGCGAGCGCCGTCCGCCGATTGCGGGGGGCGGGTCCACCCTCGAGCGCCGCGAGCAGCTCGCGGCAGCCACGGGGGCGTCTTTGGCCCCGTAGCTTTCCCGAAGAATCAGGGGCGCCATTTCCCCGACTTGGACAAGGCGGACCTCGGGCCCCCCGGCGTCGAGGACGTGCAGGGCCCCCCCCGCGGGGCGCGCCGTGCTGCTCCATGCCCGGGCCAACTTCCTTGCGCGGCATGGGCCGCCGCCCCGGGCCGACGACCTCATGATGCAGATCGATGTTTGGCGCTGGCCTGGCACCGGCGACGTTCGACGACCCCGTCTTCGCCTTCCTTCCCAGGGGCGAAGACCCCCAGTGCGCCGCGCTGCATTTCGTTCTCCGGGAGCTACCCGCCCTCATTCCCCGGATTGCCGCGGCGCCAAGCTCGTCGCGCACATTGTGGGCGCGGGCCTCACGGGCGCGGTCCGCGGCCGCGCATCCTCAGTCAGAAGGGCCAGTGACAGGCAGAACCCTGGGCGCCGCGTCGTTTTCCAGGTCGCAGACCTAGCTCCCAGGAAGGCTGTTTCAGTGCTCCTTATTATTGGCGCCAAAAGTGCCATCCCATCACGAGGATGGATCTTGCTCCGCGCAGTTCTCGAGGCGCGCGTCCCCCCCCAACAAGAACAAAGAGCAACTCTCCCCGGGTCCAACGAGCTCGGCGCCTGCGCGGACGATCGGGGCCTCGCGCTCGCCCGTCTCGGGCCCCTCGGGCCCCCCCCCGGCTATCCCGCGCCGTGTCATCCTTGGCCGGACTTGAGCCCCAGTCCCAGGAGACGGTCGCAGTCTTTCTGGGCGGGCCCGTTCGCCCCCTGTCTAGAACACCTCCCAGCGCATCATTGCGCTCCTGCATTCCTTGCGCCCGAATGGGCGCCCATTCAGATTGCCCCCGCGCTGCCTGGGGGCCCCCGTCGGCCCCCGGGGCGGCACCTGAGCCTTCGGCTGGGGAGTGCGTTTGGCAAATGCTGGCTTCGCTTGGCCCGGCTTGTATCTTCCGCCCCTGCGCCAGCAATGGCCATCCAGCCGTGCGACGCACGCGTAGTTTCCATCCTCTCACACGTTGCGCAGTACTTCCTTATTCCTGACGTCCTCACTGAGGCATGGGCGCGGCGCGCTGCGCGAGATCCTGGGCCCCCCCCCAACTCCTGGCGCCTCGTCGACCTCCCCGGAACTCGTTCGTGGCCTCGGATCCACCCCGAATGCCCCGGGGCCGTGATGCCGCTGTCGTTCGCCTCTGCCTTCGGAACGTCAAAGGCGACCGTCGCAGGATCGCGCGCTCATCCTCGAGCACTCTGGAATCCAGAATGCTCAGAACCATCTCAATCCAGAACGCCTCCTGGTCGATCTGGCCCGGGCGCGCATTCGCGCCGCCGTCTCGCCTGCGTTCTGAAAGAGCTACAGCGTTGCTGATCACTGGCGCGCTCTCTTCTCCGATGCGCCGCCGCGCCAGGTCTCGCCCCCGGTGCGCCGCGCAGCCAGGCGCGCGGCGGACGACGAGATGCCGCCAGCTGCGCGCGACGGGCGGCGGGTTAGGCAAGTAGCAGCGGTCGATTTCCTCTGCCCTCCGCGCCCCCCTCTGCCCCGACAGGTTCGTTGACGCCCCGAGCAGCCGCTTGGCAGGATTATTCGCAGCTCTCACACGACAGTAGATCCACGGCGCCTTCTTACTTCTCTCGGAGGAGGGCCCCCCATCAAGTGGGCAGTTTATACGGCGCTCACCGGAGCAGGGCGGGCCAGGCATCGCTCCCCGCTCAGCCTGCGCAAGACCTGTCAGCTCGGCTGCGAATGTTGCCCCGACTGTCTCGGCCACTACTTCGTGTGCCCCTGTTTCTTCCATGTCCTCGTTTCTTCTCGCCGCCCGGCTTTCTCGTCCGCGTCGGCCTTGGGGCATCGGGGCACATTTCATTTTCTGACTATTGCGGTGAAGTGCGCCGCCATCCAATTTGTTCGATCAGTTGCGTGTTTCCACGCTCGCTTTGCCCAGCGCCGCTTTATTATCATTGTTGTTATTATTATCAGTATCGTTGACATTATGTTATTAGTTGTGTAATGAATTATTATAGATGCGTATGCGTTACAGTATTTATTTGCATGGCCACTGCCATGCGCGCGATGAGGGTTTATAGCCCTTCGCGAAATGGGGGAAGGTGCGTCACCCCTCTCCATCCTCATCCTCCTCCTGTCCCTTCTCCTCCTGATCCCTCTCGTTTCTCTCTTCCACCGCTTGTTTCGAAAAAAAAAGGGCGCGTTATAGAGTGTGCGCGAAACGGGGGTCGCGTTCGAAGAAGCGCAAAAATGGCTCAAGGCCCGTGGATGAGCGACGAGTCCCGTTTTCGTTACAAGTGTTGGGCGATATCCGTTTCCAAATCAGGCGATGCAGGCTTCGTGTTTCTGGGAGGGGCGATTTCCGAGCCGTGGATCTGGCGCCTTTGATCGCGCATGCCCGACACCCGCTCCGCCGACCCAGGTTCTGACACCATTCCGTCGCCGGCTTGGAGTCGCGACGTGACTCTGGTTGACCCGGGCTGGCGCGTCAAAAATTTGTCGAGCAGTGGGGGAATTGCAGGGGGTGGGGTGCTGCCCTGTTCCCTTTCCATCAAGGGCATAAAAAACGCCCCAACCCTGGTTTACGAGGCGCTGTGCGCTGAAACTTCTGTGGGCTGACAGGGTAAACCCTGCGTGATGTGCCGCGTCCTGGCGGCTCCAGGTTTTGGGGGCTCCCAGGAGATTTACAGACCACGCACTTGCAACCCAGGGTAGGGTAGTTTTTTTTTTTCATCCCTCAATTCCAACTTTGGGTAGCATCACCCAAACATAGTTGGATTGTGTGTGTGTGTGTGTGTGTGTGTGTGTGTGTGTGTGTGCCAGCCCCCGACTGGCGAACGTGGCGTGGTGGCGGGCGTCTTCTGGCCATACCGCCTGGGTAACGGATATGCTGTGCGATGTTGTGAGATCCATTCGGCTTGGGCGTGCACATCCAAGGGAGGCGCATACCACTAGCTTGTCATTCCGCGTCCATTGGGCGACGGATTCGCGGGGTCGACTGCGCCGAGATTCGCGCGCCAGCTTCCCGCGTAGGGTCGCGCCTGCGCGCGACCTCTTCTCCACGCGGTGTGCCACGCTGGCGGCCCGCGTGATCCGCGGCGTGAGGTCGCTACGTGCTCTCGCGCCAGACCCCTTTTTTGTTCGTCGGTCTTTTGGCGCGGGGGCGGGAGGGCCGACCTCCGCGCTGCCATGCTCGTACCCCCGCCAGATATGTGGCGCCCGCTCGCGGGCTGCCGCCTATCTGGCGCAGGCGCCGCCCGCGTGCGAGACACACGCCCGTGGCCACGGCCTCGCGTGCCGGGCCCCTTGGGCCGCGACTCTGTGTAAACGCCGGGCGCTTCCTCGTGGATGCCCCGCGCGGGCGGCAATCCATGCGGCAGGGTGCCCACGGGATCGCGCCCCCGAGTCCAGACCGCGAGCGGCTGGATATGGACACGTTCGCCGCTCGTGAGTCGCAGCCCCCGCGCCCTCTGGATCCGTCCGCATACGGGAAGCGCATCCTTGATGCCTCAGGTGGGCCCTGCTGCCCCTCCTCGTCTTCCCCCCTCCGTCCCTCGTCCTTCTCTCTCCCGCCAAATTTTGGCCAGGCGCGCCTGGATGAAAAAGGGTACCGCGTGTCGTAGTCCGCGACCGGATGGGCTGCGCCGGTGCTGCGCCACACGGGCGCGTGCATCTTGTTTTCCAGCACGCGCAAGCCTTTGACCCATCTCTCAGGGAAGATGGGCGCCTACGGGTGGATCGAGAGAGAGAGGGAGAGGGAGGGTGCAGTTTTGTTTGTCCACGGTTGGTGGCAGGGCTTCGCAATCTTTGTGTGCGTGGTGGTCAGGTGTTTGTGTCCACGGTCTGGGATCTTGCTTGGACTTGATATTGTTTTGCACGCGATGTCGTAAGTTCAGTTCCATTTGAGGCATCGTGATGTTGCGGTCCTCATCTTGTTTGATGTGTGGTGTTGCGGTCTTTCGTGTTGGGTCATTTTGTTTTCCGTCTTTGTGTGCCATTGCGGTTTTCGTGTTGTGTCTTCTGTTGTTCCGTTAAGGTGCCGCATGAGCTAAAGGTATTGTCAAACGCAACGATGTCATTGCTGAAAGGTAAAATTGGACAGATGAGTCTAACATCGAGGCCCCCGCCAACGCGAATGCTACAGATTTTAGCAATACCCGTACTGACAGTAACGACGACCATACGGTGGATGATGTTTTTGCTTACGGGCATGCAAGCACGAGTATGAAGTGACATGTTCGTTAAAATCAAGTTCAACCGTACAGCCGAAACTAACAACAGCCAGAGATAACACTTTACACATACACCTGAACAACGTGAAAAAAGAGTACCACGGTTGCGACCGTGACATGGGATACAAGCTGTGAAACGCACGGGCTTCGAATGAGAAGCTTGCCGCCCCCAACACCATCGGCCATATTCTCATCGCACCATTACGTCGCACATGTCATCGATGCTCTTCTGTGTGTGTGTGTGTCAAAGCCTTCTCAAACTGCTTGTCTACTTGTTTGCACATTGCTTTAGGCAAGCACGACCGTGCGCGGCGCTACCGCGAGAACCGCACTTGAAACCCAGTCGCCCTTCGTTCTTGCAAATGTTGAACATGTCAACCTCGAGCATCACAAGCTGCGGGGAAGTCGCCGGCAGGCGGAAGTCCTAGTCCGCAGGAGGGTGCCGACACGTCTGGTGGCGCGGCGAGGAGGTGTTGATCATCGAGCTGCACTGCCACGCGATTCCGCCACCGCACTCGGGCGGGGGGGGGAGCGGCGAATGGGGGCGGGGGGGGGGGAATGGTGGTAGCAGCGGGGGGGAGGAGGAGCGAGGAGCGAGGAGCGAGGAGCGAGGAGCGAGGAGGAGGAGGAGGAGGAGGAGGAGGAGGAGGAGGAGGAGCGAGGAGGAGGAGCGAGGAGGAGCGAGGAGGAGGAGGGGGAGGGGGAGCGGAGCGCCCCGGCGGGATAGGGGGCCATGGGCCCTGCCTGGGCCCTTGTGAAGTTAGAGAGCAGGCAGGAGCGTGGCAGATGCAGGGGCTTGGTTGAACACGTGGACGCATCTAGGACACCTTACTCGTATGGCGCTCTCAAGCCCGTGCCTTTTCACTACGCGTGTCAACGTTTCGCCCCTGCTGGGGCTCGTCAGGACTCGAATGAAAATGGCAGCGGCATGCGAACACAGCAAGTGCATGATCGACACAATACTGCGTGCAATGCGATACGGCAAACAAAAACACATGCATGCATGCGGCGATCTCTCAACAACACCCCTGTATTGGATGACTGCTGCTTCTGCCGCCGGGAGGGGCAACCACCAAACCACCCCAACCCAACCCGAAGGCTCAGATTTACCCCCGATTTCTAGTGGGGGGGGGTCCGGGAACCTCGAAAACACACCTATGGAGCCCATACCCCCCCCAACCCGAAATTCGGGTCTTCGGGTTGGGTTGGGGTGGTCTGGTAGGTAGTCAGTCGGGAGGTGGGGCGGGGCCCGAGTTCTCCATTCGCGAGTTGCGGAAGTAGGTCGAGAAACAAGCAAAGGCCCGACTCACACCAGCCGCCGCAAGCTCCGTGGAGGATAGGGAAGACGGGCGGATAATGAGGAGGAGGAAGGCGGAAAAGGAGGATGTAGTAAGACGATGTCTGCGCCCTAGGCTCGCTCTACTTCGATTTTGATGACTCCCAGCGGGTGGATCGCGGCAAAGCGCCAATTCCACCGCTCTGGAACCAACTGAACGAATGACATGTAAATCAACGTATCAGTCGAACTACTCCATCTCCTCTGGTACGCATAGTGAGGGCCAGAGCGGCCAAAATGCAACGCGAGACGTCACCGAGGGCAAGCTTCTCACACAGTGGAGGCATTGGATGTTCGAGCATCTGACCTGGCTGGCACCAACCGCTGCAGAACCTGACGGACGTGCAACTAACAGATGATGCAGCGCATAACATCAAGCACGGGGCTCTGCAGACGGGGCTGAGCAGCGGCCAGGCCAACATGGAATACACGGACGATAGCAGTCACAGCGAGCTCGTAGGCGGGAGTCGGGGGGAGGGAGGACGCAGGGGGAACGGAGGAGGGAGGACGTTTGGGCGAGAGAGAGGAGGCAGCATGGGGGGTCAGCGGTCGAACCAGAGTGTTGAATCTATACCTTGCCACCATCCGGGGGCGCCCTTTCCAGGGCGGATGGAACATGCATGCCCTCACGGCGGCACGTGGGCGTGTGCAATCTCCAGCCGCCCTGGGACAGGCGCCCTCGCCGGCGGAACAGTGAAGGGGGCAGGGGGCATGAGGGAGATCAGTAGGGACAAAAACACAGCGACACAATGAATCGACGATTCCCCAGAAAATATGGGAGATTGTGGGAGGTGGGGGGGGGGAAGACAAGAACCCAGAAAGTATGGGAAACGATGGGAAATCCTGTTGTTTGTGCCTATCTATTTGTGTGTCCCAGGGCCCATCCAGGGGACTGCGTCGCCGTCGGTTGCGTTCGCTGGGTCTGGCTCGGTCGGCCGCTGGGTCGGAGCTGCGCCTCTGCGCCTCTCCCTCCTCCCTCCTCCCTCCTCCTTCCTCCCTCCTCCCTCCTCCCTCCTCCCTCCTCCCTCCTCCTCCCCCCTCCTCCTCCTCCTGCTCCTCCTCCTCCTCCTCCTCCTCCTCCTCCTCCTCCCTTGGTTGCTTGCGGCCCGTCGGCTTCGGTCGGTTTCGGTTTCGCTGCCGGCTCGTTGGGCTTGCGGTCGCGCTGTCGCCGTGGGCAGCCTTGGGGACGGTCGGACGGGGCTAGGACGACGACAAAGCCGTTCCAGAGCGTTCCGCAACGCTCTCAGAGCGCCCCAGGACGCTTTGAGAAAGCCGCGGCGCCCGAGACATCCGCTGGAGCCGCTGGATCTCAGAGATTCTCGAGTTATCCTCGCCCGGTCTTATCCTCGTCCTGGCTTCGTCCTGGACGTAGGTCGACTAGACTTAAGAGTGACCTTTCGCCGGAGTGACCTTTGGTGCGGGCGCAGATGGGCCCCAACACGAAGCAGTCGCAGCTGCTTGCTCGCCTGGGTTTGGTCCCCCGTGGCCCCCCAAAAGTCGCGCACCTAAGGTCACTCTTACCCATGGTCACTCTTGCGTATAGCCGAGGAGGGGGGGGGAGGAGCTCGTGGCGCGCACAAGGCAGGGGGTGCCGCGAGGGGAGCGGCCATCGGGGGGGGGCATGCCTCGTATCGGCGTCACCTCAGCACACGAATGCCATGTGCGCGTCGCCCCCTTCGAGGGGCGACGCGCGCGCCGATACTCGCCTCTTGTAGCAGGCGCTCTCTGGCCATACCGCTCGGGGAACGACGTGTCACAAGATGCGTCTACTGTATGCTCGTGTCGGACGCGCGTCTCCGAGGAGAGCACATGGCACCAGAACGTCCCCTTGCCTCCCATGGAAGGCATGGGGCCTCCTCAGAAGCCCTCGCGGCTCCCAGGAGGCCCTCTCGGAGGCCAGGGGAGGGCTTCCAGGAGGCGCCCTGCCCTCCCCGGAGGCTCCCCCGCATGCTCGGAGGGCGGCCCCCTCGCGCTCCGACCCCTTGGGCAGCCTTCCCGTTTCTTCCGGGCGGCTTCTTCCAGGCGACTTCTTCCGGAAGAGTTCTCGGGAGCGGAAAAGAGGGGGGTGATGACTAGGGGGGGGGTGGATTTCATGGCGCGGGCCATGATTTTTCCCCAGCCTTCATGGCGCGTCTTCTCATTCCATTACGTCCCAGGCCCCCCCGCTGGGCCGCGCACATGCCGCCGGTCATGATTTGCACCCCCCCCCTCTTGGACACCCCCCTCTTGGCCGCCCCTGAAGTTCTTCTGGGCGACTTCTTCCGAAGGTGACTTCCGAGGCGACCTCTTCCTGGACCCTTCTTCTGGGCGACCTTTTTCTGAGGGTGAGTTCTTCCGACGCGATATCTTCCAGGTGAGCTCTTCCGGCAGGCTTCTTTCGAAGTGTTTTGTTTGGTGAGCATCTGCCAAGGAGAGTTCGTCGGAACGTCTTTGCAACGGATTCCGTTTTGGGCAAGTTTTTGGGGTGATACTTTCCGGGAATTTTTTTTCGAGGCGACTTCTTCGGGGTTTGTTCGTCTGGGCATTTTCTTCGGGGTGAGCTCTTCCGGGCGCTTTGTTCCGAGGCGACTTCTTCACAGCGATTTCTTCTGGGGTTCCTTCCGGACGCCCGCGTCTGTCCCACACCGTAGTGGTGAGTTCTGATGTTGCGACTTTGGAAGAGGGCGAGCCCTCCCCCCGCCTCCCACCGATTCAGCAGGATCGATGGCCGGTGGGGGTGGGGTTCGGATGCCGCCACCAGCAGAAGCAGGGAGGACGGGACGGGGCGCCTCCAGGCCTATTGCCCTCGCCGCTCCCGCTGGGGCGGGGCGCGCGGGGCCGCCCGCGGGCTCTCCCAGGCAGCGCGCTGCTGACTTGGGGTTGCTGCGGCGCGGCCCTTGGCCCCGTGGTCGCTTGCCGCCCCGATGGGGCCCGGGGCCGAGACTTCCGCCGTCGCAGAGACCTTCCTCCTCCTCCTCCTCCTCCTCCTCGAAAAGGAAAAAGACGAATACGCAGCATAACACTAACAACACGAACACTAATGATACTACTAAGAGTATTCGGAATCGTAAGCGTAACAGTAACAGTAATAACGATACTAGTTAATTCATGCCAACATACGTATAATATCATGATTAGTACACATAGCAACAATACTGGCAACAACACTAGTAAACTTATCAATGGTACGAGTAAGATTAATGATAACAATAAGATTGGTAGCAGTATCAGTATTAAAACAACGATGCCTGTAATGATCATGCTACTCGGAAATACGAAGAAAAATGCAGCACACTAATACAAGTAAAAGTTATATCCGTAATAAGAATAACGATACTCGTGTTAACAACAAGTCGAACGTGAAGAGTAATATCAAACATAACAAACATACGAAGAAGAGGAATAAGAAAAGGAACCGTACCGCTACCCTTCCCTCGTTCGCGCTTTTGGGGGCCCCTCTGGGGGCCCTCGTCGTCGCCGCTGGATGCGTCTCCCAATTCTGGTCAGAACGCGCCCTGGGAGAGACCCCAGGCGTAGCGGTATCGATACCTTTTGGTTCCCCCAGGTGTCTTGGGCGTTTCGTTTTCTTGGGGTGGGGTACATGGGGGGTATCGAGGGATGCAGGAGAGGGGCCTTGGAGTGATTGCTGAGGATCAAGAGCCGGTCCTCGGGGAGGGGTCCAGACCTCCGGAGAGGTACGCCGTCAACAAGCCGCGACGTCCGATGTCTTGGCCTGGCGTCGTAGAATTCGCCAGGTGCGTCTTTCTCCTCTAGCAGTTTCAACGTCGTGGCCGTCATCGGGCCCTGGGACCCGCAGAGCACGATCCGCAGCGACAAGTCCTTACGGTAGGTTCGCGTCGTGTCGACCGGCGGCGACCCTGCCGCCGGTGTTCAACGTTGAACGCCGCCGGCGACCCAGAATCGGTAAATGTTGAACGATTTGGACATTTCGGAAACGGCCGATCGTTCAAGCTTAAACGATCCCCGCGATGTCGGCAACCAACGCCGGGGTCGTCACGACACGGACCTGCCGTATTGGGGGATGTGGCGAAGATCTCCAGGGCCTTGCGGGGCATGAGCACTGGAACAAGCCCCAAGCAAACAGTCAAAGCCAGTCAATTGTTTGCCTCCTCTCGGATGCAACTCCTGGGAGGTCAAATTCTGATGTAGCCCTCGTCCGAAATCCGGCTTAATCCGGCTTAATCCCGCTTGATCTGGCTTAATCCCGCTTAATCCGGCTTACTCCCGCTTAGTCCGAGGCCCATTCTGGCGTAACAGCTTTCAAATGGGGCTTAATCCTCCTTATTTTTCCCGACGAAAACCTCCCAGTAGTTGCCTCCTAACCTCCTGAGTTGTCCTGGGCTCTCTTGCCTGTTGGCAGGGTCCGATTGGCTCCTCCTGAGCTTCCCGGCCCAGGGGGCGGCAGCGCGACCGCGGCTGATATTTGTCCGGCAGTATTCATAGACAGGGGGCATGACGCGCTCAGGCGCCCGGCAGCCACCGCGCAGAAAAAAACCGGCGCTCCGCCAGGGGAGGACGGAGGAGGAGGAGGAGCAGGAGCAGAAGGAGAGATGATGATGATGATGATGATGCTGATCATGATGATGATCATGATGATGATGATGATGATGATGATGATGCTGATGATGATGATGATAATGTTGCTGCTGATGATGATGATGATGATGATGCTGGTGATGATTGTTGTGATGATGATGACGATGATGATGAAGATGAACACGAAGATGAAGAAGAGCACCTTTAAGATGCTGGTGGTGATGCTTTGGTGATGATGAGGACGTTGATGATGATGACGATGATGGTGATGATGGTGATGATGGTGATGATGATGCGGCTGATGATGAGGAGGATGAATATGACGACGAATAAGTAGAAGATGGATATGATGATGATGATGATGATGATGATGATGATGCTGTTGAGCATGATGAGGATGTTCATGATGATGACGATGATGTGGATGATGATGCGGCTGATGATGATGATGATGATGATGCTGCTGATGCTGATGATGATGCTGCACATGCTGATGCTGCGGATGATGCTGATGACGATGACGACGACGATGATGATGGTGATGATGATGCTCCTGATAATGATGATGCTGATGGTGATGACGATGATGACGATGATGACGATGATGATGATGATGATGATGATGATGCTGATGATGCTGATGATGCAGCTGCTGCTGCTGATGACGACGATGATGATGATGATGATGATGATGATGATGATGATGATGATGATGATGATGATGATGATGCTAACGCTGATGATGATGCTGATGATGATGAGGAGGAGGAGAAGGAGGAGAACGAGGAGGGATGAGGATCGGCCGCGCGCCCATGGGGAGGGAAGAGGGGGCGGCTCTTCCTCTCAGCATGCCTCCCGACCTCTCAGAAGTTTTGAGGCCTTCTCCAACGACGCATCGGGCTTCTTCTCAGAAGGCCAGAGGGCTTCTGAGACTCAGCGCCACCTTCTGAGACACTTCCCCCCTCGGCGCGCCGTCGAGAGTAGGAGGAGGCGGTGGAGGAGGAGGAGGAGGAGGAGGAGGAGGAGGAGGAGGAGGAGGAGGAGAAGGAGGAGGCGACAGAAGGCGGAGTTGGCACAACCAGGACATGGAGGTGGGCGCGGGGGAGTCTGGATGACAGTGTGCAGTGTGTGCTGCGTCCTCGCGTCGTGCGCCACGCGTGTCGACGTCTGTGTGGGAACTTTGTTGTTGATCACTGTTCACCGACTGCGTGTGCCTCAAGAGGAGGCGGAGAGGAGGAGAAGGCGGAGGAGGAGGAGGAGGAGACGGCGGAGGAGCATTAGGAGATGGATGAGGATGACGATGAGGATGCTGCTGCTGATGATGATGTTGATGTTGATGATGCTGATGCTGATGATGATTATGGTGCTGATGATGCTGATGCTGTGGATGATGCAGATGCTGATGATGACGATCACGATGTTGATGTTGATGATGCTGATGATGATGCTGCTGCTGATGATGATGCTGATGCTGATGCTGATGATGATGCTGCTGCTGATGATGATGATGATGATGATGATGATGCTGATGATGATGATGATGCTGATGCTGATGCTGATGCTGATGCTGATGATGATGATGATGATGATGATGCTGCTGATGATGATGATGCTGATGATGAGGAGGAGGAGGAGGAGGAGGAGGAGGAGGAGGAGGAGGAGCAGCAGGAGCACTAGGAGGAGGAGGAGGAGGAGGAGGAGGAGGAGAGGAGGAGGAGGAGTTGGAGAAGGAGGAGGACGAGGGAGGAGAGGAGGAGGAGAGGAGGAGGAGGAGGAGGAGGAGGAGGGGCAGGAGGAGGAGGAGGAGGAGGCGGAGGAGGGGGATGAGGCGGAGGAGGGGCAGGAGGAGGAGGGGTAGGAGGAGGGCAATGAGGAGAAGGAGAAGGCAGATAAGAAAATCAATAATAATCAGGAGGACGGAGGGCAGAGGGCGAAGAACGCGGAGACGGTGGATGATGATGATGTTGATGATGATGATGCTGATGGTGATGTTGATACTGAGGTTGCTGATGCTGATGCTGATGATGAGGAGGCTGATGATGCTGATGATGCTGATGATGATGACGATACTGAGGCTGATGATGATGCTGCTGATGATGAGGAGGAGGATGAGGAAGAGAAGGGAATAGGGAGGAGGAGGAGGGAAGAGGAGGAGGAGGAGGAGGAGGAGATGGAGGAGGAGGGGGAGGAGGAGGAGTAGGAGGAGGAGAAGGAGGAGGAGGAGGAAAAGGAGGAGGAGGAGGAAAGGGGGAGGAGGAGAAGCAGGAGGAGGAGGAGGAGGAGGAGGAGGAGGAGGATAAGGAGTTGGAGGGAGGAGGAGGAGCAGGAGGAGGAGGAGGAGGAGGAGGAGGAAGAGCTCGTGGCCGCAGGATACCAGCCCGCGGGCCAAGGCGAATACCTCCGCGGACGCGCTCTTGGTCATGTCCGCAGCCTCGGGGCCACCTGCGTCGAAGGCATCCTTTCTCAGCTTGGTGCGTGCTCGAGGGCGAGGAGGTGTGCGATGATGGTGTCGCTGACCCTCTCCTCGCACGTCCTGGCATGCCGCTCTGTGTTGCCCCTCATGACCTGGATCTCGGTTGTAACCTTACCGAGGGGGTTCGCCTTGGACGCCTCTATATCTACGGGGTCGTGCAAGCTGGCCTGCTGCTGCATGCTCATTTCATCCAGGATCTTGGGCGCCTCCTTGTCGACGGAGTCGCACCGCTTGGACTTGGACGCCTCCACATCGAAGGAGTCGTTCATCTTGGCGCGCTGTCCTGCGGAGCCCGACTTTTCCGCCTTCTTACCATTGTTCTTACCCTGCCTCGGGATTCCATCCGCGCCCTCGCTCACGTAGACCACCGATGACGGATCGGGAAACGTGGAAACACCAGGAACATCTTCGCGAGCTGCAATGCCGACCCACCTGATGGCATGTGGGTCTGTGTGGAATCGGTGTCGCACAAATTCGGGCTTCGGATCCCCGACCTCCTCTATCGCGTTCGTCTCGCCCTCCGCGTCGTTGAGCGGCTGCTCGTACGCCTCCTCGCTAGAGATGGCGAACTGTTCCATCGTGCAGGGAAGCCATTCGTCCTAAGAAACTGCATGCTGGGGTTCAAAGCCCGCAGGTTCGATCCTAGACCCATGTCATGGTGTTAAATTCCAGCGGGAAGTTCACGCAGGGAGCCAACCATAGCTTCGCCGGAGCCTTTCAGGGCGCCAGAGACGGGGGCACAGCAAACGGGGCACGGGGAACGCCGATTTCCACGTTTGGCTATGCCCCCGAGAAGGAAGAAGCATGCGGGAGGAGGACCAGGAGGAGGAGCAGGAGGAGGAGGAGGAGGAGGAGGAGGAGGAGGAGGAGCAGCAGGAGGAGGAGGAAGTGTCTGGCGAGGCACACTGCTTCGACGTTCAGGGTCGGGCTGCTTTCAGCGCCCGTAGTTCGCTCTGTGCCGGCGCCAGGTTGATTGCACGCGTGGAGAGCTGGGCCCAACTATACTATGCACTTCTTTGAGCGAGGGTTTGAATTTCGAGCGAAATTTCAAAAGGTCAAGACCTGGTCACAGAGGGGTCCTTTCTGGCACTTGCCTGCGAAAGTCGCCAGGCGGGGTATTCAGATCGACTGATTTGTCATTACTGTGCCATGCTGTATGATGATTATGTTTTTGCTACGGTGGTAGCAATTGTATTGTCGACGACAGGGGAGACTGCGCCACCGATCGTGACAATCTAGGCAGCGCTGTATGGCGGCAGCAGCAGCGCAAGCATCCGCAGCATCAGCCGTTGCAGCATCCTCTGCCCTAGCAGACATGATACAGCCATGCTAGGACAGCGTGCGGAAAGCGGGATGCAGCCGGGGCAGCGAAGGGGGGACCCGTCAAAGAACAAGCCTGCGGTGGGAGTGGCGTGGGAGGGAGGCGTGGATGGAGGGGGCGAGAAGGAAGCGCAAGCTACAGGAGGAGGAGGAAGAGGAGGAGAACGAGGAAGAGGTGGAGGAAGAGGGGAGGAGGGGAGGAGGAGGAGGAGGAGGAGGAGGAGAGGAGGAGGAGGTGGGCTGCGCACCCCTCCTCCTTGGCCAGCTCGCCGGAGGTCGTGCCGCTCCTGCAGGCGATCGGCGGCACGTGCGTGAGAGGGGCCTCCCGCCGGCGTGGCCTCTGGTCAGGGCCCGCGGGGGTCCCTCCCCTCCTCCTCCTCCTCCTCCTCCTCCTCCTCCTCCTCCTCCTCCTCCTCTCCTCCTCCTCCTCCTCCTCCTCCTCCTCCTCCTCCTCCGCCTCCGCCTCCGCCTCCTCCTCCTCCTCCTCCTCCTCCTCCTCCTCCCAAGCGAAAATCTATAGGCAGCATCCTCGGTCGCGCGAGAGTGTTGTTTGTTCTACCGTCGGGGCGTTGACCTAAGGAGCCCTAAATCAGGAGCGAGGTCCCTATTTTCCATAAGTTGAACCTCGATCTCCCATGGAAGACCTCAGGAGAACCCGAGGCAAACTGCGAAACAATTAAGGAACACGGAGCCCCTCCCCTGCGAAAAGGGTTCCTTCTTCAGGGCCCCGACTGTACCCTCTGGTCAAGAACGCGCGTTGTGCCCCCCCCTCCCCCCCTTGACCTAACGCTCCTCTCCCTCCCCCCCCGTGCGGCCCCAGCACTGCCGCAGTGCGTCCGGCACCACAAGTCTGTCACAGTGGGGGGCGGGGGCGTCACGGGCGTTGCGTTATGCCCTCCCCTCCTCCCCCCCTCAGTAACGCCCGTCCTCGCCGCGAATGAAAACATGATCTCCGCTTGCGTGCTTCGGTCTGGCCCCAGCCCCCCGCAGCCCTTGAGCGTCCATGTCCCAAGCCTTCCCCAGCCTCCCGCCCCGCGGAGCGGAGCGGCACGCTGTCGGTGTGCAGGGCGCCGCGCGTCGCCGGGGCCGCCGCCGCGACACGCTGAGCACACGTTCCCGACCAGAGGGTCTTTAATGATGCCCCCCCCCCTAAGCCCTCGGCGGGGAATAGAAACTCGTCCCTCCTCCTCCTCCTTCCCCTCCCTCCTCCTTCCCCCCCGTCCTCCTCGGTGCATGTTCCAGTGCGCGCTGCAGCGGTGGCGGTGGTGTGTCGGAGAGGAGGAGGAGGAGGAGGAGGAGGAGGAGGAGGAGGAGGAGGAGGAGGAGGAGGAGGAGGAGGAGGAGGAGGAGGAGGAGGAGGCCGCCAAGCGTTGAGCGATGGGATTTTGAGCACTTCTCATGACCTCTCATGCATCCGTCGACGAGACTAATGAATTTCCAACCTAATGTCGGGGTCCCAATCCCAATCCGTCAATAAGCCGGCGGAAAGATGATCCATTTTCCCATTATTGCCCGGGGGTTTATTAAAGACCCTTTGGGTGAATAGGCCGCGCACCAGAGGCCACTCTCGCCTGGAGTCGCTCCTGCGCGTGGCCCCAGGCGAGCGCTGCGCAGGCGTGCCCCGAGGTGGAGTGCCGCGCGCTCGCGTGGGGCGACCTCGAGGCCGCCCGGGAGCTGATGGCGGGCGCGCCCTCCGCGGCCGCGGTGGCCTGCGAGTGCGCCTACTGGGGCGGCTGGGACCTGTTCGCCCAGGACGCGGCTGCGCGCGGCCCTGGCGCCTTGGGGAGGGCGCCGCGGCCACCAGGGCAGACGCCGCCTCGGACGCAGGGCCTGCCGTGGGGTTTGCCGTGGGTGTGCCGTGCTGCCGGTTTCGTCCACTTGGGCGCCTTCAGAACAAACAGCGCGGCGACGCATGACGTGGATGGGGCAAGTTGGCTTCACGCGCCGGGAGGATCTGGAGAAAGTGTTTTTCTGTACGCGCTGCGCTGAGCTGAGGCCATGCGACGACAGTCACCCCTTCCCGCGCTGGGACGTGCTCCGCCCGCCGGTGGGTGCATCTCTTCCTCTTTCTATGTCTGTCTCTCTCCTTCTCTCCCTCTCTCTTTCTCGTGGAGTCGTTGAATTTGACAACTTGGCTTGCCGCATTTCTTCCACCATGTTGGAGCGTGCCAGGTTACCCCAGAATCCAGAAAGCATCGTTCAACGCGGTCACCTCCCGCGAGTGTTCCGCCGGCGCAAGGTCGTGATCGCACTTATTGACGCTTCCAGCCACCATTTCGAGCCAGTGGCTAATGACATATGGAGGTACAAAGCCTGCAACCAGCTGGTGCGACCCACAGCTCGCTTGTTTTTCGGCACGGTTCGTTCGCAGTGTGCGGCTCACGCGCAATCTCCGCACGCCACGCGGGAGCGCCAAAGGAGGACTCGAGGGCGACGAGTGGTGGGTTCGCAGGTCCGCAAAGCACCAATCGATGATGACCTTTGGTGTAGGCTTGAATTGACCGACCCCCCTCCACGCTTGCGTCCACGGGCACAGGGTGAATGACAGTCACGCAACCTGGAGCAAAGGCCGCTTCACCTTCTGTGGGCTTTGCGGATGTTGGGCGGAGTCAAAACCTCGCGATTTGCGCATGGAGTGCCAAGTCGCTCTGTTTGGCCCTGCGGCCCTCACGGCATATAATTGTGAAGGCATGGGGAGGCTGAGGCAAGGCAAGCCCCTAAGAATGAATGCCTGGACTGGGGTAGCACAGTCAATACCTTCATAGTCTGCTCGGCAATCCCTTCGGAAGCTTGACTGGCAGTGGTTCGCAGCAGAGTTGTTTGTTCCTCTCTCTCTCTCTCTCTCTTTGGACACGATGGCAGGGATCAGTGTTGCGCGCAGACAGCCCCTGGAGAAGATCCAGGGCCCCCCTGGGTCCTGTCCATCGTCTTTCCTGTCCTCCTCGCTTCTGGAGCATGGCTTACCCTCGGCGGTCCAGTCCCCGAGCGTCAATATCCCGAGCCGAGCCTTTCCCAGCCTCCCGCCCCACGGAGCGGAGCGACAACGCTGACAGCTTGCAAGGCACAGCGTGTCGCCGGGGACGCCACCGCGACACGCTGCGCAAAAGTCCCCGACCGCAGCGGTAGCGGTGTGGGCTGCTTTTGACCCCTTCCCCCCGGGCAGGGCTCAGGCTCGCGCACAGACAGCCCCGGGGAGGCAGCCACGGCTGGCCTCGACGCCTCATCATACTCCCGGGTTGCAGTCGGGGCCCCGAAGAAGGAACCCTTTTCGTTGGGAAGGGGCTCCGTGCTCCTTCATTGTTTCACGGCTTGCCTCGAGTTTTCCTTATGCTTTCGATGGGAAAGCGAAGTTCAACTTGTGGTAAAAAGGGGCATCGTTCCTTATTTGGGGTTCCTTGGGTCAACGCCCCGACTGTAGTCTGGGCGGTCTCATCGCCTCGGCGACGCCCCCATGGGGCCGGTTCCCTCACTTCCGCCCTCCGCGGACCCAGGTCTTATAGCGAGCGGCCGGGCTACGCGTCCAGGGCCCTATAGCCGACCCTGGTCGGCGCGGGCCCGGGCGAGTGCGTCCCCGATGTCTCGTGCGCAGCCTTGCGCCTCGAAGCCCAGGACACGAGGGCCCCGCTTGCCGACACCCTGGACGTGCTCGTGGGGGACGGCGGCATCGGCATCCTCGTCTTCGAGGTGCGCGACTGGTCCCGGGAAGCGTCGCTGCTCGGCATGATCCTGGAGCGGGGGCTGGAGGTCCACCGCGAGGCCTGGAGAGGGAAAGCGTCCACCATCTACTGAGAGTCAGGTTACCCCAGCAAAGCACCCTCGTAGTTAGCAGAGGCGACGAGGCGCGTCGAGGAGCAGGAGGAGCACGACCGAGCAGCCCCGAGAAAGAAAAGATGCAGCCTGGACAGGGGTGAGAGCACGGCCATATGCACCGCGCATTTTGGTGTATGTTCTAGAGGTTTGTGGCCGCCCGGACCAAAAATGTAGCCCGCGTTCAGGCGAGGGTGCGATACTCGACTAACTCGCCAGGAAGTCTCAGGCGAAAAGGCTGCTGGACTGGGCGGTCTAGGACGCTATTGGGGACTAGCGACGTGCAGCCAAGGTGCTGAAATCACTGTCAGGTCGGATTCGGACGGGGCTTGTTTTTCTTGCGCGTTTCTGCTTCCACTGTTGTTCCTGTATGGCTCCTTCAGTCGTTTCTGGGGCCGAAAAAGAAGTTTCGTTTCTCGTGTAGCGCTCCTTTGCTGCTGCCGAAATCGTGGATTTTTCTCCGGGGTCCGTGCCAATCTCTCGGATCGGCGCTTGACCCCCTTCTGTCCAACGCCGAGGATCGAGGAGGATCGAGGATCGAGAATCGAGGATCGATAGACGAGGATCGAGGATCGACGAGGAGGATCGATAGACGAGGATCGAGGATCGACGAGCCAGGCGGCGCCACGCGACGAGGATCGAGGATCGATAGAAGGAGGGTCCTCGATCGAGGATCGAGCCTCGAGGATCGAAGCATCCACGTGCTCGATCCTCGAGCATCGCCCCGCGAGGATCCAGGATCCAGGATCGAGCTGGCCGGCTTGGCGTGAAGGGAGGGGCTCCAGCGCCGATCTCAAGCAGTGGCGGAGCGCCCTGGCTCGCCCTCTAGCCCTACCGAACAATGTTCTAAGAACCTTTTGTGGTCTCCACGAAATGTTCTTAGAGCATTTCTGGCTGGGGCTGTCTCGTTTTAACACATAAGACTCAAGCTCTAAGAACATTGTTGTCGTTATTAAAGCATGTTTGGGTTCTAAGACATGTCGTGGTAGGACTATTGAAATGCCAGGACGGTCGGTCCCTGCTCAAGATCCAGGAGATCCGCGCGGAGCTCCAAAGGTGTTCCCGGGGGGGAGGCCCAGACGTGCTCTCCTCGTCGTGAACAGACATCACGACGGACAGACAGCTCCTGGCCGATGTAGGCCTCCAGCGGCCATCGCCGGACCGTGGGTCCGTCGAACAGTGGCCCGGGGCGAAACGCCGGCTTTGCAGTCTGAACTGATCAGCAGGGCGGCCCTGCAAGATCAAGGTTGCTCTTGTGTCCCGTCTGTCTTTGGCACCGCTCGGACATGTGTTTTTTTTCCTCGGCGAGGACTATCGAGGAGCATCCTGGATCCTCTTGCTTCAAAGAAGCGCACGGCATCGAAAAATGCACGGCCGCCGTGGCCGCCTCGGGCTCGAGCCGCCTACGCTCGACACTGGAAGTCTTTGGGCATGTTCTTCGAGAGGTACGCAGGGTCAGGGGGCTTCACTGCAGTGCGGCAGTGCGTGCCTCCTGCAGAACGTCCACGCCTTGCTTTTCTGTTCTCGCGCGCGCGTGCGTGGGCCCCGAGTCGCTTCGTTGACGGCCCCGTGGCCCGGCAAGGGCCCCCTTGGGGCCGAGAGCGGCGAACAGCCGTCCGCCATGCCTCCCGAGCGTAAACACGCAGGGAGGCCTGGCAGCGCGCGACCACGACCGCGGCCGCGCGACCTCGGAGGGCGTGCGCGGTCGCACGGCCCGCCGGGCCGCGCCACCGCGCCACCAGGAGCCGCGCGACCGCGACCCGGCGGAGGGCGAGGTCGGCGTCTGGAGCCTGAGGCGGCTGCGCGGGGCGCTGGGCCGCGGCCGCGGGCCGCGCGCCCGCGCGACAGACTCCTGCCCGCCGGACGCGGCGGGCCCTGGCGAGGCGCCAGACAGCGCCCACTCCCATCTTCAGGGGCAGCGGGCCCCGAGATCCGAGGATCTGACTGTTTTGATCCGGCGTGTGTTTGCCCGGAGTTCGGCCCCCAGGGCCCGTCCTCGGGCCCGGGGATCAGCACACATGGGCCCTGGGACGAAACAAAACCACGCCCGGGGGAAGGGGTCGGGATTTCTGGGGCCGCGGGATTGAGAAAATCCGATCGGCGGATGTCTGAGGGGATGAGGCTCACGCGGGCCTCCCGGCAGGGGCAGCGTTGGGGGGGGAGGGGCGAGGCTCGTTGTGGTCCGGGTTTGGGGAGGCTTTCGGCCGCTTTCGACGGTTCTGGGGGCTGTCTTCCGTCTCAGGGTGCCTTCCAGCGGCTGTGCCTCGCCAAGCGCTTTCCGGGGATGCCCGGATCGTCCCGAACCGAGGAGAGCTGATGTATGGCCTCGAAGTCAGAGCGAGCGCCGACAAGGGGGGTAGGCTCAGGGGGGGATGCGTCGACCCCCAATCGCCCATTGATCGCTGATATGGACCTCATCGCCCATTCCGCCCAGGAATGTGCGGTTTCGCGATCTGTGGCCTATCGCCGATCTATCAGCGGCGATGTATCGCCGATTCACGCTCGATGTTTCTCACTCTGAGTTGGTCTCCCCCTGACGTTGACTCTCATATCCAACTGCTTGCGGCAAGTCCCGCCACCATGCCGGCCCAGCATAATTACTGAGTGGCGTCGATTCGAGCGGGCACGAGGAGCCGTCTCGTATGACACCTGGCGCCCACAGGCGTGGAGGAGCCGTGATGAGGATAATGAAGATTATGAGGGTGATAGGAGATGGCGATGATGCTGCTGCTGATGATGATGGTGATGTTGTTGATGATGATGATGATGATGGTGGCAATTGTGATGGTGATAATGATGGTGATGGTGATGATGATGAGGATGATGATAAGTATGATGTTGAGGAAGAGGATGACGATGATGTTGATGATGGTGGTGATGCTTATGATAATGCTGCTGATGCTGGTCAAGATGATGGTGGTTGTGGTGGTGGTGCTGATGATGGTGGTGGTGATGATGCTGATGATGTCGATGATGACGATGACGATTACATTGATCATGATGGTGACGATGACGATGACGATGACGATGACGATGGTGATGACGATGATGACGATGATGCTGATCACGATGCTGATGTTGTTTATGATGATGATGATGGAGATGACGTGGGTGGTCGTGATGATGATGATGATGCTGATGGTGTGGTTGATGATGGTGATGTTGACGATGGCTGTTGTTGTTGATGGTGATGGTGGTTACGACGACGATGATGATCAGAGTGGTAGTGATGATGATGACGCCGACGATGATGCTGATGATGGTGATGATGCTGGTGACGATGACGTTGACGATGATGATGATCATGATGATGCTGATGATGATGCCGATGGTGATGATGATGATGATGATGATGATGATGGTTGTGATTATGCTGATGCTGATGATGCTACTGACGATGGGTATGCTGATGTTGCTGATGATGATGGTGGTGTTGCTCTTGATGATGATGATGGTGATGATGTGATGATGCTGCTGATGATGGTGATGAATCTCGGTTTGGCCGTCTTGGGGCTGTCTTGGCCTCCTGTCTGTGATGCTGATGCTTGTGGTGTCTGTGATGATGATAATGACGACGATGATGATGGTGCTGATGGTGATGATGATGATGGTGGTGGTGAGGATGCTGATGCTGATGGTGATGATGATGCTGATGCTGATGCTGATGCTGACGACGATGATGCTGATGATGCTGAAGCTGCTGCTGCGGATGATGATGCTGCTGCTGCTGATGCTGATGTGTGTGATGATGCTGATGCTGCTGCTGCTGCTGCTGATGATGATGATGATGATGATGATGCTGATGATGATGATGATGCTGCTGATGCTGATGATGGTGATGAACCTCGGTTTGGCCGTCTTGGGGCTGTCTTGGCCTCCTGTGAGGCAGTCTTGGGGGTCCCTTGGAGCTTTTTGGGCCGTCTTGGGGCCCTCTTGCGCAGGCTTCTGGCTCTTGGGCCGTCTTGGGGCCCTCGTGGCCGTGTGGTGGGTGTCCCGGGGCCCGCGTTGGACTTGTCTTGGCGCCGTCTTGGGCCGTCGAAGGGCCTTCGGAGGCCGACCTGGGTCCCACGGGAGGCCCTCTTGGGCCGTCTCGGATGCCTCTTGGGCCATCGTGGAGTCCTCTTGGGCTGTCTTGCGCTGACGGCAGCCCGAACATGCGAACATCACTCAACACCAATGGAGACTCAATGCTTCTGGCTTCTTCGGGCCGTGTTGGAGGTCCTCTTGCGGCCATGTTTTGCCCTCTTGGAGGCATCTTGGCCCGTCTTGAATCATTGTTCGGCCGCCTTGGGGCCGTCTTGGGCCGTCTTCGAGGCATCTTGGGCCATCTTGTTGTGCTCTGCTGCCTTCACGAGCCCGTATGGAAGCTTGGGATGCATATCCATCGTCATAAATAGGGATCGTGGCTTGGGAGGCCCTGGAGCGCTTGGGAATAGCGCCTGGGAATGTGGGAAGTGCACGATCCTCGAGCGGTTGCGCGTGGGATAAGAGGTCTAGGAGTCGGCGGCCATGCCAGAAGTGCATCATCCTGGAGCGGGCGCGCAGGGAATGAGGGTTCAGGCATTTGCTGCCGTGCCGGACGTGCACAATCCTCGAGCGGGCACTTGTGCAAGCGGCTTTCAGGCATTAGCTGCCATGCTTGCAGTGCACCGTCTTCGAGCGGGCGCGCGTGGGAGATGGGTTTAGGCATTAGCTGCCATGCGGGAAGTGAACCATCCTCGAGCGGGCACGCGTGGAAGGTGGGTTGGGCGTTAGCTGGCATGCTCGCAGTGCGCCATCCTCGAGCAGGCACGGGGGAAGTGGCCTCGGTGAGCAGGGGGGGTGCACGCAAGAGTCCGTTGGTAGAGGGAGGGTCAGTTCCCTGTTAGAGGTCAGAAGCCCTATCAGGCAGAGTTTGGCATTCTTGCACGCCTCAGCGTGCCAGGGGGCACGGTGGCGGATCTCCGATAACATGTTTTTGTCAGTCCGTGCGTTCTTGTTCCTAGATCTCGGCATCTTGGTGCGGTTGTGTCAGGCCCCTGGACACTCAGCAGCGGACCAGGGACGACGTCTGCCCCAGGGAAGGGCGCTGTCGGGATCTCTTTGGATGTCCTGGGCCTCAATATCCAGCCTCTCGGGTTCGGCATCGAGTCTGGCCAGCTCGATCCGGTGCGCTTCTCTGATGCCACCAGCGGCCGACCGACGATGCGAGACGGCCCGATGCCTGCGTGACGCTGCTGTGCATCGGGGCGCAGCCGATGCGATCCGACTTCGGTCTTCGTGCCGATGTGGCCCGATCCGACACAGATCCCGAGTCGATCCGAATGCTCGGTTCGATGCCGACTGATCCTGCCAGACTCATAGCTGCACAGCGACTGTTCGCGGAAGTGACCTGTGGTGTGTGTGTGTGGTTTGCAGGGCACGCGGGGCTGCCATACCCGGGCACGCAAGCCGTTCTGTTGCACCGCACGCAAAGATCGGGAAAGCGCGCACCAACGGCCAAAGAATGGCCGTCAGAAAAATTGGGAGCGCGCGTGGTCGGACAGATCCGCTCCTGACCGCCGCCCAGGCAAAAGCTGCTGAGGCGAAGAATCATCCCCTTCTCCTCGGCCCCGAACCCTGCGGGTCGGGCCCAAGACTTGCGGCGACGAGGGACGCATGCAAGAGGCAAGCTACAGTAGGGGTCTTGACGAAGGAACCCTTTTCGTTGGGGAGGGGCTCCGTGTTCCTTGATTGTTTCGCAGCTTGCCTCAGGCTTTCCTTATGTTTTCGACGGGAAATCGAAGGTTAACTGATGGGAAAAAGGGGCCTCGTTCCTTATTTAGGGTTCCTTAGGTCAACGCCCCGACGCTATGCGACCAGCCGAGAATGCATGCGAGCGGCGAGCAGAGCAGTCGCCTGAGGCCCCCCCCTGTGATCCTCCCCACGCCTCCGGGGTCCTGCAAAGCAAGCGTCGCCGTCGTCCTCCTGCCGGCGCCGACGTCGACGTCGACGAAGATGTTCGCCGATGTGCCCTGGCATCGCTCGGACGTGTTTTTTTTTGTCTCGGCGAGAACCATCGAGGAGCATCCTTGATCATTTGGCGAAAAAGCCACGCACGAAACCGAACAAAAACACAGGGAATGGACGTCCGAGCGATGGCGAGTGTGCGAGTCCTGACGGCGACGACGTCTCGAGCATCTCCGCCTCGCGTCCTGCGTCGCCTCTCGCCTCGCCCTGCCAGCGGGCGCGGCACGCCGTCGCTGCGAGGCCCGGGGCCCGGAGCGCGAGGCGCGGCGAGCCCGGGGCCCGGGCATCCGACGAGGCGGCGGAGGATGAGAAGACGGAGGGAGGAAGAGGAACAACGAAGGCGGAGGAGGCGGAGGAGGAGGAGGAAGAGCAGGAGGAGGAGGCGGAGGAGGAGGAGGAGGAGGAGGAGGGGGGAGGCTGCGATCGTGGATGTCTTTAGCCACCAGGAGTTATGACCTAGGAGGAGGGAAGAATGTGGGTGGCAATGGAGGAGGAGTAGGAGGAGGAGGAGGAGAGGGAAAAGGAGGAGGAGGAGGAGGAGGTGCTGGTGCTGGTGGAGGTGGAACCGGAGGAGGACAGGGAGAGGCGGCGTGAACGAAGACCTCCCACCTTCCTCCCTTCTCCTCATCCTCCCTCTCTCCCAGACTCCCTCGTTGCTGTTATGTTGCAACGCCGCGGAGGTTAAATGCAGCATCGGCGCCCGTGTACCCGTGGTTGACGATGGATCCGATCCGGCCCAGTCCCGCTGAATCCAGCCCAATCCCGCAATATCCGTCTTACTGAATCAATCCCGCTATGTATCGAGTTGAATTTGGTTCAGCAGCTCTTTTGATCGGGTGTTGTTGTCGTTTCGATCGCTCCCACGAAGATCATAGCCTTCAACCATTCTCACGAAGGCTTC